CACCACCATGGTCAAACTGGCGTCCACCTTCGCGCCACGTCGACCCACGAGCGCCCTTCGATACGCCATCGCCGCCGTCTTCCTAATATCCCTATTCTACTACCTCGACCCAGGCGGACACCAAATACCCTCCTTCAGCTATAAGCTTCCGAAAACACATCATGGCGTCAAGGACGATGCGTCCCCCAAAAAGGCCGCGCCGCCGTTGCCGCGGCAGAGCGGCCATCCCATCGACGACCTCATCAAGAAGGCCGAGGCGACGTTTGACGACATGATGGCCCGAGAAGCCAGGACGGTCGAAGACGCCGCGAAAGCGTACCGCGAGCGTCGCGGCCGCCACCCACCACCAGGGTTCGAGACGTGGTTCAATTTCGCCAAGAAGAAGAGGTCCATTGTCGTGGAAGACTTTTTCGACCAGATCCACCACGATCTCGAGCCGTTCTGGGGCATCCAGCCGTACCGCATCCGCAAGGAAGCCGCTACGTACGAAATGTTCATCACGGTGCGCGACGGCTTTGCCAACACGACGAGCGACTGGTTCTGGACCCAGATCTGGCTCGACCTCTTCCGGACCATCGACGACATGCTGCCCGACATGGACATTGCGCTGAACCCCATGGACGAGCCGCGCATGGTCGTGCCGTGGGAGGACATGGCGCAGTACATGGAGAAGGCCGCCGAGACGAAATTCATGGCTGATCCCCAGGACGTCGTCAGCCAGTTCCAGACCTTGCCCACTAAGAGTTGGGTCGAGCCTTGGACCTGGACGACGTGGAAGATCTGGGAATCCGAGAGTAGGTCGACCTCGATGCAGCTGGACGTGCAGCGCAGATGTGCTAACATGCTTTTTTTTCCTCCTCCTCACAGAGTTTTACTGGCGCCTCGCCCGCCGAGGATGCCCGCCCACGAGCCCGGCACGGACCGCGCCGCTGCAGCGGTCCTTCCAAGACGCCCCCGACATCTCCATGGCCCACGCCGAGCCCCATCTCCTCGAAGGGTACGTGGCAAACTCTACGCTCGCCAAGGACATTTGCCACCAGCCCGACCTGCAGGGCCTCAACGGCATCTTCATCGAGCCCCTCAGCACGTCGACGACGAGAGAAATCTTCCCCCTCTTCGGCGGCTCCAAGCTGGCGGTCAACAACGAGATCATCCTGCCCGCCGCCATGCACTGGCAGGAGGACGAGCGGTTCACGGGCGGCGACGACCACGGCGGGCCCTGGTCGCAGAAGACGAGCGCCGTGGTGTGGCGCGGCGTGGCCACGGGCGGGCGCAACCGCGAGACCAACTGGAAGGGCTTCCAGCGGCACCGGTTCGTCAGCATGAACAACGCGACCAAGGTCGGCGAGGTCGAGCTCGGCGGCTGGCCGGCGCTCAACTTTGCGCTGCCGGAAAAGGCCTACAACATTGCGGCGCAGGCCGCCGGGCGGCTCGGCGAGTGGGTGTCGACGTGGACCAACGTCGCGTTCACGGACCTCATGTGCGAGCCGCGCGAGGACGACGGCGCGTGCCGCTACACGGGGCTGCACTACGCCATTGGCATGGGCCTCTCGATGGGCCAGCAGTTCATGCTGAAATACCTGCCCGACGTCGACGGCAACAGCTACTCGGGCCGCTACCTGGGCTTCCTGCGCAGCACGAGCTTGCCGATCAAGGCGACGGTGTGGCGCGAGTGGCACGACGACCGGCTCGTCGCGTGGAAGCACTTTGTGCCCATGGACAGCCGGTTCGGCGACTACTACGGCATCATGGAGTACTTTCTCGGCTACGGCGACGATGTGCCGGGCCACGACGCCGAGGCCGAACGCATCGCGACAGAGGGCAAGATCTGGGGCCGAAAAAGCGCTGCGCCGGGAGGACATGCAGGTGTACACGCTGCGGCTGCTGCTGGAGTATGCGCGCCTCACCGATGATCGACGGCTGA